ACAGATAAGTTGGTAAATGGATAAGCAGACAGATGGATAGGGAGATGGAAAAGGCAGGTAGTCAGACAGATAAACGGATAGACAAACTTGAATACAAGTAAATTTCGATTTAACGCTTTCGTGACTGCAGGGATTCATATTCTTGCTTCTTTCGGTAAAGTCACCACGTAGAAATCAAATAATAAATAATAAAAATAAAACATAATAAGGTAAAATTCTCACGTTGGAAAGACAGCGACGGTTCTGTTTCTTCACCTGAGGACGGCTGCTTGCGTTGTGGCCGAAACGTCGTGAGAATTTTATTATGTTTTATTTTTATTATTTTATTATTTCCCTTCTACGTGACTTTATCGAAAGAAGCAAGAATTTAAATACAAGTAGTTGGGTAAGTATTTTAGCAGAGAGTGAGACAGACCGGCTGTAAGACAGACCGTACAGGTGTGCAGTAACAGGTAGCTCGGCAGACAGGTGGCTCGTGAGACTGATGGACAGGCAGTGGTGCAGGTAGATGGTCAGTCAGGTGTTCGATGAGAAAGACATACAGGGAGTGGGACAGACAGGAGATGTGGTCAGATGTGTGAACGTACAAACAGGTGTCCAGTGAAACAGACAGGTAATCAGTGGTCTGGTGATACAATCAGGGGTCCGGGATGTGGACAGCTGCCCAATGAGGCAGACAGGTGAACAGGCAGATGTCTGCTGAGATGGACAAACGAATAGACAAATTCATCCAACATTTCAGCAGGGGTGTCCAGTGAAACACACAGGTGATCAAACAGAAATATTTAAAAAAATATACGATTAGACAAATGTTAAGGTGAACGGAAAGATGAGCAGACATGTGCCACATTAAACGAGACAGATCATACAGCAGGTAAACAGACATTTGCCTTTGCGACACGGGTGAACAAACGCGTGAACAAGCAGACACGCTACTACACAATACAGAGGCGAAGATGTATCGGATAAGCGCATGAGTGAGTGGACGGGCGAGCGAGCGAGGGAGGCAGCGCGCGTGTGAGCGTGAACGTGATTGAGAGAGTGAGTGAGAGGGTGAGTGAGTGAGTGAGCGGTGAGTGTGTGAGAGTGAACGTGTGTGAGAGTGAACGTGGGTGAGAGTGAACTGTGGGTGAGAGGGTGAGTGAGTGAGAGGGTGAGTGAGCGGTGAGTGTGTGAGCGTGAACGTGAGTGAGAGGGTGAGTGAGTGAGCGGTGAGCACGTGTCAGAGTGAACGTGTGTGAGAGTGAACGTGGGTGAGAGTGAACGTGAGTGAGAGTGAACGTGTGTGAGAGGGTGAGTGAGTGAGAGGGTGAGTGAGTGAGAGGGTGAGTGAGTGAGAGGGTGAGTGAGTGAGAGAGAGGGTGAGTGAGTGAGAGGGTGAGTGAGTGAGCAGTGTGTGAGAGTGAACGTGAGTGAGAGTGAACGTGTGTGAGAGTGAACGTGGGTGAGAGTGAACGTGTGTGAGAGTGAACGTGGGTGAGAGGGTGAGTGAGTGAGAGGGTGAGTGAGAGGGTGAGTGAGTGAGTGAGCAGTGAGTGTGTGAGAGTGAACGTGAGTGAGAGTGAACGTGAGTGAGAGTGAACGTGGGTGAGAGTGAACGTGTGTGAGAGTGAACGTGGGTGAGAGGGTGAGTGAGTGAGAGGGTGAGTGAGTGAGAGGGTGAGTGAGTGAGTGAGCAGTGAGTGTGTGAGAGTGAACGTGAGTGAGAGTGAACGTGTGTGAGAGTGAACGTGTGTGAGAGTGAACGTGGGTGAGAGGGTGAGTGAGTGAGTGAGCGGTGAGCGAGCGAGAGAGAGAGCGGACGCGTGCGAGTTAATAAGAGTGGAGTGAGCGAGAGAGCGGACGCGTGCGTGCGAGTGAGTGAGAGAGAGAGGAGTGAGAGTGAAGAGCGAGACGAGCGAGCGGGGGAGGCGCGTATTTAAATGCCAGGGGGCGCGGGATGAGTGCGCACAGCGGCGGCGCCGGGGAAGCTGCACCTCGTCCCCCCCCCGCTCCTCCTCCTCCTCCCCATCACCACCACCACCACCACAGTCGCCGAGCAGGCGGTGACATGGCCGAGCCGCGCAGGTGTAAGCGCAGGAAGCAGGCGAACCCTCGTCGCAAGCACGGTGAGTGAGTGAGTTGAACGGGGACCTACACAGGACGAGCCCAGACTGCCTGCTGTGTAGTCCACCCGCGCGGTTCGCTCTGCCCACCGGTGGAATTCGTCCGGTGCCGGGGGTTGAGTGGGGTAAGTGGGGAGGGTTGGAGGGGAGGTCGAGAGAGGAGGAGTGAGGAGGTGTCAGAGAAAGGAGGAGTGAGGAGGTGTCAGGAGGGCGCTCGCACCTGGGCATCTCCCCGGAGCGGCTAACGGTGCCTCGACGCGCCCGCTCGGCACCGTTATCCCTGCCGGGCCACCACCACCTCCACCACCACCACCACCTCCCCTGTTGCTTCTGGAGACTTAAGGGGGGGTACCCCCCCTCCTCCGCCCCACAACCGAAGGGGGTTCTCTGGGGGAGTCTCACGGCGGAAAGGGGGCGGAGGGGGGGGGGGGTCTCGACTTGACCCACCAACTCCACTTCTCCCTGCCGCGCTACAAGTTGAGCAGAAGCCGCCGCTGGATTCAGTGGCAACTTGAAGCCCGGCGGAGAGACAGAGAGACGTGGGGGGGGGGGGGGGGGCAGAGAGACGTGGGGGCCCCGCGGGTGACGGGGACACGGGGGGTAGGGGACGTAGATAAGGGGATGTAGCGATAGGGGGGCACAGGGATAGGGGGTATGGGGAAGAGGGTGTATTGGGGATAGGGGACGTGGTGAGTGTGGGGTTAGTAATAGGGGGACACAGGGATACGGAGGGCGGGGATAGTTATGGGGGGCACAGGGATAGGGGACGTGGTGAGTGTGGGGTTAGTGATAGGGGGGCACAGGGATAGGGGGTATGGGGAAGAGGGTGTATTGGGGATAGGGGACGTGGTGAGTGTGGGGTTAGTGATAGGGGGCACAGGGATAGGGGACAATGCCAGGGGGTATGGGGAGAGGGGACCGGGCTACACGGGAATAGGAGACACGGGGATGTGTGACTGGAGTGTAGGGGATAATGTACTAGGGTTGGGGTATGGGACAAGGCGTGTGAGTGGTGAGGGTTTAAGGGTGTAAGGGACACGTCCTAAGGTGGATGCAGGGATAGCGGGTAGGGGTACAGTGATATGGGGTTACTGCGTCTCGGGCATAGTTAACTACGGTGCAAGGGGATTATGTGAGAGGGGTACCCGATAAGGGGATACGGGGGGTAGGGGTAACGGGGATACAGGGTAGGGGTACACTGGTTAGAGTAGTAATGGAGATAGGGGATACTCGTTACGGTGATAGGGGGGGTAGTAAGGGGGGGCACAAGTCACAGTGATAGGGGGGTAGTAAGGGGGGTACGAGTCACAGTGATTGGGAGGTAGTAAGGGGGGGGGCACAAGTCAGTGATGGGGGGTAGTAAGGAGGGTACGAGTCACAGCGATAGGGGGGTAGTAAGGGGGGGCACGAGTCACAGTGATGGGGGGTAGTAAGGGGGGGCACGAGTCACAGTGATAGGGGGGTAGTAAGGGGGGGGGGTACGAGTCACAGTGATAGGGGGTAGTAAGGGGGGGCACGAGTCACAGTGATGGGGGGTAGTAAGGGGGGGCACGAGTCACAGTGATAGGGGGGTAGTAAGGGGGGGGGGGTACGAGTCACAGTGATAGGGGGTAGTAAGGGGGGGCACGAGTCACAGTGATAGGGGGGTAGTAAGGGGGGGGGCACGAGTCACAGTGATAGGGAGGTAGTAAGGGGGTGGCACGAGTCACAGTGATAGGGGGGTAGTAAGGGGGGGCACGAGTCACAGTGATAGGGGGTAGTAAGGGGGGGGCACGAGTCACAGTGATAGGGGGGTAGTAAGGGGGGGTACGAGTCACAGTGATAGGGAGGTAGTAAGGGGGGCACGAGTCACAGTGATGGGGGGGTAGTAAGGGGGGGCACGAGTCACAGTGATGGGGGGGCAGTAAGGGGGGGCACAAGTCAGTGATGGGGGGGTAGTAAGGGGGGGCACGAGTCAGTGATAGGGGGGTAGTAAGGGGGGGGGGCACGAGTCACAGTGATAGGGGGGTAGTAAGGGGGGGGTACGAGTCACAGTGATAGGGGGGCAGTAAGGGGGGGCACGAGTCACAGTGATGGGGGGGTAGTAAGGGGGGCACGAGTCACAGTGATGGGGGGGCAGTAAGGGGGGGGCACGAGTCACAGTGATGGGTGGGTAGTAAGGGGGGCACGAGTCACAGTGATGGGGGGGGCAGTAAGGGGGGGCACAAGTCAGTGATGGGGGGTAGTAAGGGGGGGCCCGAGTCAGTGATAGAGGGGTAGTAAGGGGGGGGGGGCACGAGTCACAGTGATAGGGGGGTAGTAAGGGGGGGCACGAGTCACAGTGATAGGGGGGCAGTAAGGGGGGGCACGAGTCACGGTGATAGGGGGGGTAGTAAGGGGGGGCACGAGTCACAATGATGGGGGGGTAGTAAGGGGGGGGCACGAGTCACAGTGATAGGGGGGGTAGTAAGGGGGGTACGAGTCACAGTGATAGGGGGGTAGTAAGGGGGGGGGGTACGAGTCACAGTGATAGGGGGGTAGTAAGGGGGGTACGAGTCACAGTGATAGGGGGTAGTAAGGGGGGTACGAGTCACAGTGATAGGGGGTAGTAAGGGGGGGGGCACGAGTCACAGTGATAGGGGGTAGTAAGGGGGGGCACGAGTCACAGTGATAGGGAGGTAGTAAGGGGGGGGCAAGAGTCACAGTGATAGGGGGGGTAGTAAGGGGGGCACGAGTCAGAGTGATAGGGCGGTAGTCACAGTGATGGGGGGGGGGTAGTAAGGGGGGGGGTACGAGTCACAGTGATGGGGGGGTACGAGTCACAGTGATAGGGGGGCAGTAAGGGGGGTACGAGTCACAGTGATGGGGGGGGGTAGCACCGTCGTAGACACACGAGCCACGAGTTGCTCGCCTTTCCCCCCCCCCCGCCATGCAAACTCTGCACGTTACGTGGCCTGTGTTGTTGTTGCTATCTCTGCTTGCTTCTTCCCCACTGTCGTGTGAGCTTGTCGATGTTGTTGGGGGGCCGAGTGGGTGGCGTTGCGGCCCCCTACGAACACTGTCAGATTAACACGAAGTGAGACTTTCGCGCCAAATATCTGCCATCATATCGCTGTGTTTGTTGTTGTTGTTGAGGGGAGGGAGGTTGTTAGATCGCGTAAATATATTTAAATATAAACGTCGCGTCAACAGAACGTGACCATAGTTCGTTACTAGTACAGCAACATCGGTGTGTTGGGAGAGCAAAGACGCATATCATTTACGATCGAGAGGAACGACGTTTCGCGCAGTAATTGCAACCAGCATCATCAGGCGGGGGCAGACAGATTTGTGGAGAAGTTCTGTTCCAAAAAGAGAAAAACTTAGTTACTACTGGGCCAACACTATCAGTTAAAAAAAAACGAGAGTTCCTACCTTAGATAAGCGTTGAGAGGGGGTGAAGAGTGCGGCGACCGTCTCACGTCTTACGGACGAAGCAAGCCGCTGGTGGAAATTCCACATTCCCACGAAGTGAGTTTACCCACATGGAAGCCACGGTTGACTTGCACACGCAAAAAAGTTGCTTATGACCCTACCCACCCACTCCCGTTGCTTGTTTGTGTATCGATCCCCGAGGGATGATGATCTTGGTCAACTCCCCGACCTCCGAGCCACTTGGCCTGTACAGTAATACAGTAACCGCCTTGCAAATTAACTCTTAACTCTATTGTAAGCGCTGGTTAATAATAATAATGCTGTTTTGTTTTAATGACACCGTGCAGGAGAGTAAGTCGTCTCTGGGCCCTTGCGATGAGGTGTTCTTGATGACACGAGATTGGGGCGCTGCGGCGGCTAGGAGATGTTAACTACCTCGCCTGGTATACAGGAGGTCGTGGGTTCGGTCACCAACCCTGACACCTGCTGCTGTATATTTGGAGTTTGTGTGTCCCTCTCTCATCATCATCACTGTGGCTAGGAGATGTTAACTACCTCGCCTGGTATACAGGAGGTCGTGGGTTCGGTCACCAACCCTGATGCCTGCTGTATATTTGGAGTTTGTGTGTCTCTCTCATCATCACGGTGGCTAGGAAATGTTAACTACCTCGCCTGGTATGCAGGAGGTCGTGGGTTCGGTCACCAACCCTGATGCCTGCTGTATATTTGGAGTTTGTGTGTCTCTCTCATCATCACGGTGGCTAGGAAATGTTAACTACCTCGCCTGGTATGCAGGAGGTCGTGGGTTCGGTCACCAACCCTGATGCCTGCTGTATATTTGGAGTTTGTGTGTCTCTCTCATCATCACGGTGGCTAGGAGATGTTAACTACCTCGCCTGGTATGCAGGAGGCCGTGGGTTCGATCACCAACCCTGACACCTGCTGCTGTATATTTGTAGTTTGTGTCTCTCTCTCATCGTCATAACGGTGGCTAGGAAATGTTAACTACCTCGCTTGGTATGCAGGAGGTCGTGGGTTCGATCTCGGCCCTGATGCCTGCTGTATATTTTGAGTTTGTGTGTCTCTCTCTCATCATCATCACGGTGGCTAGGAGATGTTAACTACCTCGCCTGGTATGCAGGAGGTCGTGAGTTCGTCCCACCCTGACGCTTGTTGTATATTTGTAGTTTGCATGTTCTGCCCGTGGTCGTGTGGATTTGTCTCCGGGTCATCCGGTTTTTACCTCGACGTTTAGGATCAACGTGCGTTTAGAGTATTTGTCTGCTATAAACTTACACACAAGCTGCTTCGTTGAGCTATCATATGTGGCCAGGTCGCTTCTGAAAAAAACCGACATGACTCAGTGGGCCTTATTTGGTAAAAAAAAAAATTGTGTTTTCATGATCATTGGGATGTCATGTTCTTGATGACCATTTGGATGTAATGTTCTTGACCCTTGGAATGAGGTGATCTTCATCACCCTTTTGATTTTAATGACCATTGGCATGTGATGTGCTTGGTGATCCTTGGGATGTGATGTTCTGATTACCATTATTGGTATTTCACTTTCTTGATGACCCTTGAAATGTGATGGTCTTGATGACCATTGGAGTGAGGTGTCCTGGAAGACCTTTAGGATGAGTTATTCTTGTTGAGCCTTGACGTGAGCTGGTCACAAAGAACCAATGGTGTAAAACGGTCGGGAGAAGTTTCGAGAGGTCAAGGAGAGTGGTGGTGTGAGGTGTTCGGGTAGTATGGAGGACCCCTATATATATAAAAACCTCTGCTTTTGAGTGCCAATAGGGCTTCAGCTGTCACCACATGATAACGATATCTGTGGATGAACCCTGTGCCTTCACCCCCCCCCCCTTTGGTAGACCTCACGCATCTCCATAGACCATCAAGGGGACTGTAACCTGGCACTTTGTCGCCTCTCTATCCCGAACAAGCCTTACCCCTGCCGTGTCCTCATTTTATCCCACATCCTCCCGTGACTCACCCTGCTTCCCCCTGGCCGTCCCTGTCACTCATTTATCTTATTGACCCCCATGTATCTCAAGCCCCCCTCAGAATGCCCTTTTCTGTTGGTGGCCCCCTTACCTTTCGGTGACCCCTCTACGCCGACTTTTCTCTGGGGGGGGGGGCCCTATCTCTTCACTAACTCTCAGCGGCCCCTGTCACCCCCTCCACCCGACCCCCAGTTCACATTAACTAATGGGCCACCTCCGCTCAGCTTGCCCCAATTTCTCCGTGGCTTCTCTCAGCTCCCACCTTGACTGAGTGCTCGCTCGCTGTTTTTTGGTGGTGGTTGGCCTCATGAGTACGATCTCTAATGAGTGATGCGACGCCACTGATGTATCATCCCGCGCACCACCAATAAAGCAGGGTGAGACAGGCAAGGGGGTAACCGAGTGGCCTCATTAGAGTGCCACTTGGCGCTCTGCTGCCACGCGTTCCGTCTGCACTTTCTTCACACGCTATTCAAGCTTTTAACGAGCCTAACGTTTCTCATGTCAGCAGCACAGTTGATCACTCGTATTGGTTGAGTGCAGAGTGGCGATTATGAATGGTTTTCAGGGATTTTTCTTTGGAAATGTGAAAAAAAACTGTTTTGGCCTTTTTATACTGTCCATATATTAGTTACTCGACCGTGTGTGTGTGTGTATGCACGTAGCAGTGTGTTAACATCGCCACTAGGGAGACAAAGGCGGCCGGGCGTGGTGCTGGCCACCCACCTTCCTCACGTGCCGTGCCGGCCTTCATAGGTGCTCGCTAACAGCACTTGCTCCGAAAGTCTGTTAAGGCTATAACGGGGGATCTTTGTCTTTGTAGAATTCACGCACAATGTGCCTGCGAATGAACCTTGTGTTGTTGCGGGTTGTGTTTTGGCTGCTTTTGGTCTGGGTCACAGTCACAGCCCTCCCTCTCTGTGGGGGATGCTCTTATTCAATCTCACACAGCCAGCAAAGCTGCGTGATCCCTGATCTCCTTAGTTCTCTCGGTGCCAGGTGATGCAGTGCTGGGATAAATCTCGCCTCTAATCCCACCCTCACTCTGCCTGTGCGCGAGTGAGCGTCCGTGGATCAGGTGGGAACGAGGTGTGGATGGGCAGCGCCAGCTGTTTGCGGCAGAACTATGATACGGCCGTGGCTCACGCTTAATCAGTGCCCGAAAGAGCACGGCAAGAGGCTTTTTAGCTCGCCGAGATGGGTCGTGTTAAAATGTGCTTGCATTTTTTTTGCACGCGACACTGAAAACGACCGCTTAAAAAATGTACGGCTTCTACTTGCCTCCATAACGTACTGTCTAAATTAAACAAGAAATCAAAGCTTCAAAACTTACTATGTTTTAGTAATGGCTCAAGTGTTGTTGCCGAATGTTGTAGTAGCTGGTAAACATGACGATGACATAAAATGCCTGTTTACTATATTTTTCTGGCGGGGGCTTAGTAACGAGAGCGTAAAATGTGCTTATTCAGCTCCAAACGTAGAGCGTGATTCATGTTTACATGCCGCTTTACAGTGCCCTCGTTGTTAATTGACTAAGCTTTTTTCCAGATACAGTTGCTATGTGGCTTAGGTGATTCCATGTGTGTTTCGTTTATGACCCCATTGAGTCATATTAATATCTATTTGTCAATGCTGAAGCGTGGAAAGTGCAACCAGTATTTTTCTAATTTTGCTAAAAAAAATGTTAAAGCTAAACTTTTTCGAACGTTCTTTTTTTTCCGAACATTTTTCTTCTAACATACATTTTACATGTGCGAACTTATTTAAAGTGCTTTTTTGTAGTCGCAAAGTGAAAATACGACTCCCTGCTTGATACATCATAACTAAATACAAAACAAGTATTTTCAATAATAGCTAATGTAGAGATTTTGTAGCTTGGGTTAATTTGAGACTGAAAAGTATCAGCGAGAAAGTGATGAAGATTTTGCAGAATTCACTTGTGTGTGTGTGTGTGCGCCCTAGTCCTGGGCTGTTCTTCTCGTGCAGGAAAAGCGGTGACCTACATTCCTCTATTTGGTCTCCTACAATCCATTGAGAACAAAGCATGCCTCTTCTTGCGAAGGAGCCACACACAAACACGCCGCTAAATCCAGCCTCTTTTTACAGCAATCCAGGGAACAAAATTAGCATTTCACGTATGAGGCTAGAGCTTGAGTGGGTGGGGGGTGCCTGGCACTTGGGAGGTAAGGAAGGTTTCAGTCGTTTCAAGGGGAAATAGCTGGGGTTCCTCCAGCTATTGTGCACGCTTCCCCTGGATACAGGCTTGAGAAAGAATGAGTGACAGGCGTTGGATGGTAGGGAGGTACGGTGGGAGTAAGTGGCTTCATGGGGCACCGGGAGAAAAGCCACCTTCATGAGCCATCTGTCAGCACAGTGCCATGTGTGGGTTCTTGCTGCCCGTGGTGTCATTGCTATCTGCTTAGCATTGGCGCGCTTGTGTCTTGGGCATGTTGCGGAGGTTTCTGTTGATTGCAGAGGAAGTTTTAGGTGTAGAAAGCTTATTTGTGTTACGTAAAAAAAAAATCCTGTACAATTGTGCAATGGACGTCCTCTTATCCACAGTGATGTGGCAGACCAATATCATGGAGCCTATTATCCACCGGATTATCCTCGATTTTTCTCTATTTATCCATGGGGGAAAAAAATTGTAGATAATTGCGCATAAAAGGAAGAAGAAAGCAGTGGATTATAGGAGTTTTCACTGCCCTATGGCTATATATTCTTGGTTCTTTCGGTAAAGTCACGTAGAAGGGAAACAATAAAATAATAAAATTATGAAACAGATCATAGGAATCTGGGGTCATGGGGTCACAGATATGAGTTCTCTTACAACACACTTGGGATGTTTCCACGTTATCTAATGTTTTCATACCAATATATTGTGTGTTGTCCACTTGAAGTGAAATTCAAATGTGCCTTTTTTATTTACATGGGCACTGAGACTGGGTAAGATCGTTTTGGTGGTTTACACACTTTGCTATCAAGCTCAGGGAGCACTTGTTCAAAGGCAATGTGGGAATAATGCACAATAAGTGCACCATCTGTTAATTTGCGTGAATGAAAAATAGACCTTGAATTCTGTGTTGT